TGGGGAAAAATGTTTAATTAGAGGACAATAACCTCCATAAAACATGTAAGAATTATAGCCCTTCATCCACTCAGCTCCTTTTTTGAGACAAACAAAAGCTGTCTGTGTTTTTATATTGCTAATTATTTCACAAAAGAGCTAATGAATGTTCTTACGGTGTTTATATTATTTTTTTTGGGGGGGGGATTTGGAGACTGCTGTTGTTTTAACTTTAAAAAAAAAGGTACAATTTGGTGTTGGGGAAAATATTATGTATATATCTGTTTAATATGTGCTTGATTAAGTCTGTGTGTATGGGAGGTCAGGAATTATCTTCAAAGGGAGTTTCTGTTTAGATAGCTGGAAAGATACAGCACCTGAAAGGCACCAATCACATTTACATATAACTGGTCTTCAAAGGAGTCCCTATCTAGGAAAACACACCTTGGGTTAGAGGCAAAGGGATGGCTGGGAGAGTTAACACTTAAATAAAATAACAGGATAGACAACACTTTGGGCCTTGGGAAAGTAAATCACATTTACATATCAATTGAGCTGAGGAATTTGCTATTTACAACATGGGAACCAATTCCTTTAAAAATAGAAGATACTGACATCACATTAGATTAGGTTTGGTAAGACACACATGCTGCACATAACATTGCACAGCACATACACAATGTAGCCAATATTATTATACACAATGTAGCAGATAGTATTAGATAGATGGAATGTATGAGTGTCATGAATGTATTGTAACTCTGTAATACTATAACTCTCTGTAACATTCTTCTTCTGTAATATTTAATTGGGCAGATTCTAAGTAAATATTTCTCTCTGGTAAGAACTATGGTGTTGGCTGTTTATTTGTAATATCAGGTAGAATACCTTAGTAGTGCTAGTCATATATTTATCTGGACAAGGGGATAAAGATATATGTTAGTTCTTGGAAGAGGTGACACAGGGATATTACATTCACTATTAAAAACACAACGCAGAGTGGATTTCTCTCAAAAGGATACCAATTGGAAGTATTGGTAGTGAGAGAAGGATTATACAACATTTGGTAATGCAGGCAATCATTAAGGTGCAAAATTGAAAAATTGATCACAGGCTACTGTGAAGGAAAGATGGCTTCAAGATCCAAACCTACAGCTTGTGGATTTCTAAAACAAAGTCCTGTAGACTACCTGTAGCAGAGACAATGAAATGAAGTGAGCATCATTGAAGCATACATCATCAGTAAAACAAAATGACAAACAAACACAGACAAACAAGAACTAGAATTCATCAACAAGCTGGAATGGAACATGGCAGGGCTGTGACAGAGAAAGCACCAGGAAGACCGTGACATAAAAAAACAACAATGGTTGGCAATTGCCTTGACAACAGGTTGTACTATTGAATGTTTGCTACAATTATTTTGGTTCCATAAAGTGATAGGACTAATTTAGTGCAAAATAGCCAAGCTGTCACTATAGATGAGTAGCAGACTTTTTTTTCCAGATCAGCAGTTTTTATATAAGCACATTGATTTATTACTCCTGGGGTTATAATAGAATTCTGCAAATAATTGTATAAAATCTCTGCTTTTAAATATTATGCAATCATTGCTACCAGTGTATCTCATATTAAAAATAAATAAATAAAAACAATCTCCTTAAAATGGAACTGTCTATCAATTTAATATTATCTTTGCGTATACCCTATATTTCTGTAAATATATCATTAACCCCTTAAGGACACATGACATGTGTGACATGTCATAATTCCCTTTTATTCCAGAAGTTTGGTCCTTAAGGGGTTAAAGGAACACTGTGGGCATCCACACATTTGATAAGGTTTTGCCTTATATTAATGCAGTGTTTTTATCCACTTCCACTCTTGGGGGGGAAATTACTTCTTAATATAGATTTTTCTTACTTCTTGGCTCCTCATGGTTTTTGTATAAACATGTATATCATACCACACGTCAGTCCGAAATATAATTACATATCAGACTTATGCTTTCCATAGATGCATTCTGATTGTGAAGACAGATGTATTAAACTAGGCAGGTCATGTGAAAAAGGAATTTTACATAGTAATTTATAAATGTTTGACAGCAGATAGTACTTGCTGGATTCAGGGAGAGAGAATATGCTTTTTATTAAAGGCAGAAAAAACTGTGGTTTTAATAATCAGAGGTATGTCATACAAATGAGGACAATAGTGGGGACTACATTATTACCTACCAACTCCTGATTAGACTTGGAGATCCCTTTCATTCTGAAATGCAATTCCTACCAATTTGTACCGATTATGTGATCATTAGAATTCCAGAACTGAAATGTAGCCTAATGACAAACCAAAATACACGCAATGGCCGAGCACGTCATTATAATTCGCAATTCTGAATACCACCCACGGTGCCAAAAATAGGGATGATGGGGGGAAAAAACAAGATTGATGTTTAATGGACAGTCACTAAATGTTGATTTTATTCACAGATAAAGTGAGAAGTGACCAATAGAGGGAAAAAGTTCGAGCAATAAAAAAAAAAATGAAAGACTCTATATTTATATATTACATTTTTAAATACACATATAATATATTAATATAGATTTACTACGTTTCCCCTCTATTGATTACTTTTTTCACTTGATCTGTGAACCAAATGGTGGAAAATGCTCCTATCAGTGTACTGTGAAATATATACATAATATTTATATAATGTGTATAATTTACAGTACAGTGATTGTCCTATATTCACATCTTTTGGTTAGGATTTATTTTTCAAATTGCATTTTTTTCTTTACCGAAATTCTGCTTGGTCAAACTGAAATTTTTAGAAAAATGGTTCCACCAAAATATATTTTTTTTTGCTGTGCACAAGTCTATACAACAGCAAACAGCAGGCACAAGAAGGAGATAAGGGAATCGGGAAAACAGTCTGTGAACAGCACATACAGCAAAGTGTGTCAACATCAGTTCCAGGATGTGAACTGGGCAGGACAGGGCTGGATTTACATAGGGGCTGATGGAACTGCAGCTCCAGGCCAATGTCCATGGAATAGGCCCATTGTTTAAAAAAAAACAAAAAACTCCTTCATATGCTCTTGCTTAAGTATAAAAACTTACGAGTGATGTAGGGGAACAAAACTGGTGTGGACTGGCTGACAATGAAATTAATGTAAAGCTGACTTTGCACACTATGCAAATGCTCTTGCTGCTTCAATCTCTCTAACACAGTTCCCTTTCTTCTATGCTCACTACATCCACCTTTTCTCTGTCCCAGACTGTATAACTTCTGCCTGCTATTAAGAAGGTAAGGAGAGGAGTGGATCAACGAGCTCTAGGAGACAGATCTTAGAAAGCATAGAGCTAACACATCATTAGACGCATTTATGCCAAGCTCCGGGTGCTGTCTGCACAGTATGCCCTTGGTTGGTCATCCTGCATGATTGGCAGGCAGCCTGATGTGCATTCATGCCAGGCTGACCATCTAATTCTTCAGATATGCCCCCTTTTTGAGCATGTTTGTGCCTTTGGGCGGTTCTGCTTATGTGAATCACATCAGTGGCCAACCCTTTTACCCGGCCTACCAAAATCCTGCTTCACCGGACACTGCTAGGAGGTTTGGATTTACTTGAAAGATCGAGATAAGCATGGGGTATGTGTTTTCTGATAGCTATATCCTGTGAGTTTCCCTCCAGCACCACCTTCACCAGATCCATGACGCTTGGGAGGTATAACGGTTTTTATTGTTTTCTGTTGATAAGATTTTGTAATTGGGCTCATCATAATTGTCAGCACCAGGCCTACTGGGCTCTTAATGTGGTCCTGGGGCAGGTCATCATGGCTTCACTAGAACTCTGGGCCCAGTAAGGTTTAACATGGGAACATTGAATTGAATTTATATTTTATTGTTTTCGTTCTCTGTTGCCATATTTTCAGCTGGAGGTTTTATTTTCCAATGTATGTTTATACCGTGCACTGTGTGAGCATATGTACATTTTGTATCCTCTTAGTGGATTGGAATGTGTGTTTCGATAACGGGAGCTACATAAGACATCTCTTCTCTTGTCTTCACAATACTGGATTTATTGCTCCAACAACCCATGCTCTCATTGGCATTGTTTTCTGGTTTATATTACTACAGATAACTCTCCATGTAGCGCTATAGTGCTACATTCATTTTACTAATCTGCTCTTTCCATGCAGTGCACAAAGTATTGAATATATTGTATATATTATCTTCTGCCCTGATAAGTTTTTCTATAAACTAAAAGTGAAAAAGAAAAAACATACTGTCAGAGGTGATTATCATTATATGGAATTTGTTTTATATGGAATGTGCATTTTATTATATGTGTACTATAATATGTGTAATATGTGGTTCTATTAAATGGTCAACAAGCAAACACAAATGGGGCGCAAGTACAGAATATTTAAAATCTCGACAGTTTCACATTAAAGGAACACTTAATTGAATTTGTTTCACTATTCAGTAGATATACCCCAAAAACATGCTCGCATTTTGTTAGTTATTTTTTCTTTGGGGCAAGTTATCTTGCGAACAAATCTGGAAATCTGTGTTTGTTTAACAGTAACAAATCTAGGAAATAATCAAGACAGATTACTCTCTTTTTTGTAAACTGAGGAGTAATGCTGTTTCTTTCATAATGCATGCAGACGGCAAAAGTAAATTAAAGGAGTTTCTCATTCTCTTTGAAAGACAAAAATAATACAAGATTTGTTTTACAATTGAGCATCAAACGGATTGTTTAAATTAAGTTTAGCGCCAAGAGGCATGATACGTCAACAAACAACACTATTTCCTCTAGCTAAAAAAAGAACATTTGTTGCTGATAATCTCTTAGTGCAGGATATTCTGTATTACATGAATATAGGTTTTTAATACTGATATTAAAACTTAAAGGGAAACTATAGTCACCTGAACAACTTTAGCTTAATGAAGCAGTTTTGGTGTATAGAACATGCCCCTGCAGCCTCACTGTTCAATCCTCTGCCATTTAGGAGTTAAATCCCTTTGTTTATGAACCCTAGTCACACCTCCCTGCATGTGACTTGCACAGCCTTCCATAAACACTTCCTGTAAAGAGAGCCCTATTTAGGCTTTCTTTATTGCAAGTTCTGTTTAATTAAGATTTTCTTATCCCCTGCTATGTTAATAGCTTGCTAGACCCTGCAAGAGCCTCCTGTATGTGATTAAAGTTCAATTTAGAGATTGAGATACAATTATTTAAGGTAAATTACATCTGTTTGAAAGTGAAACCAGTTTTTTTTTTTTTTTCATGCAGGCTCTGTCAATCATAGCCAGGGGAGGTGTGGCTAGGGCTGCATAAACAGAAACAAAGTGATTTAACTCCTAAATGGCAGTGAATTGAGCAGTGAAATTGCAGGGGAATGATCTATACACTAAAACTGCTTTTTTTAGCTAAAGTAATTTAGGTGACTATAGTGTTCCTTTAAGTTTTCGTTTTGAAATTCCCGTTTTATATGCATTGCTAAAACAAATTATCCTATTAAACCACTGTATTGTCAGTGAAGTTGTTAGAGGGGAAAGAAAGTCAACCATTTTCCAACCATTTAATATTTCTTTTTTTCTGGTCTGCCACCAAAGTCATATACCTATACCGATTTCTAATTATCATCCTTTAAAAATAAGCAAAGAAAGTAAATAGCAAGTATCACTCAAGTATACCTTTAGAATTCCTGCTGCGTAGGCTATACACTGCAAGCAGGATCAGAAGACAGATCCATTTCCAAACCTCCAATCAGAAGCCTTTGATCCTGTAATATAAGTTTGCTATCTCTACAAAGCATTGAAGAAAATTAATAGGACACTCTATGTACACAATCTGGGCACTAACACAAATTAACTGCATTTTGATTTTGGCCTCATGGTGTACTTCTCTCCCTGTTTAAAACTCATTTGGTTTTGCTAAAAAAGATAGGTTTACTATTTGCTGTTACATAACCCCGCCCACTTAGCCAAATGTTCTATCTTCCCAAAAGTAACTTCCTTATTTGGAGTACATATTTTGCTTAACCAATGGGAGATCAGTGTGCTGAAATGGCTCTGCCACACCAGCCAATCAGAGTTTTCTTCTTGTATGTCCCTTTTTAGCAAACCTTGAATTACTATACAGGTAATCAGGGCAGTGATTGGTTGTGGGGCAGAGGCAAGTCAGAGTCTCAGCTCAAACTGATCTCTCATTGGCTGAGCTACATTATGTACTTTTCAATGAGAAATATGTTTTATGAAAGGAGGAGACATGGACTACGCAGCAGAAATACATAGTGCAATGAAGCAGCTTTGGTGTATAGACAATGCCCTTGCAGTTTCACAGCTCGACTGCAATTTAGGAAAGAATTGAGCAGTTAGACTGCAGGGGATTTCATATACACCAAAGCGGGTTCATTAAGTTAAAGTCATTTTTTGTGCCTGTAGTGTTCCATTAACCAGGAAAATGTAACTAAGCCGTACATTATTCATCTTATTTGCTAAAACGAAAATTGCCTCTATGTGCTATAAGCCCTGCCTTGTAGCTCTCTGTGAAATACTAACATTCTATCGAAAAATGTTACTGAATGTACAAATCCTGAAGATTTGTATTAAATGCAGAAATAATATAAATATAAATATCAATTTTTGTTTTGAGCTGGGTGGAGTTTTGTAATATTTTTATACAGTGATATATCGCCCTATTTCAAGTCCATCTTGCAAAGTGTTTGCCCATCTTACATCTAAAGTGCTTGTTGCTTTGCATCAGCGGCCCAAATCCATTTGCAATATATTCTCAGATTTTATATGGTAGAATTTGTCTAATACATTCTGCCATAAAAGGGAAATTCAGTTTCACCTGCTCACATAATGCAATACTATTAAAAATAAATGATATACTACAGAACATCATCTCGCAGTCTTCTAATGCCCTAACTTCTTCTAATATTTGCTACTTTTATAAATACAGAATCTGGTGCCTGATGCACCTTTTTAGGGTCTGATTAAATTTAATGTTTTATTCTTTCTTCTGTTACATGAAAATAGTGTCAAATCAATACTTTGGCTTATTAAAAAAGATAACATTTTTAGAGGGGTGATAATTCCTCTAAACCAATTTCAAACTACAACAGATACAGACAGGCTGAGCTACGAAATGTCATAACGTCATGTCATTAATCAAAGCTCTTGGCATTAGTGATGCTACTAATCTATACATCTGATCTATGAACTAATAGCTCATTGGCGCGTAAAGAGGGGGACGCCTAAAATCTTAATTTCTACTTTCAAGAATAGACATTTAAGATTTAACTTGCAAATAATTCAAAGCGGACTCCAGGTAGCATGATGAAAATTAAAATTATGAAAAATAAAATAAATAAAAATAAAATAAAAATAAATTTAAACTGACACAATAGTCACCAGAATCACTACAGCTTAATGTAGTTGTTCTGATGTCTATAGCCTGTCCCAGAAGGCTTTTCAGTGAAAACACTGCCTTTTAAAAGAGGTTTACATTGCTGCCTTGTAACACTTCTAATGGCAGTCATTCAGATGGCTACTAGAGGTGCTTCCGAGTCCAGTGCTGCACAGTGTGCAGCACTGACGTTCAGCATCTCCACGCTCTACATGGAGACGCTAAACTTTCCCCATTGAGATGTACTGATTCAATGCATCTTTATGAGGAGATGCTGATTGGTGCAGAACTGCATTTTGCCATACATGCTCAATAGCCTTCCAATACTTGGCTAATTGATGATCTTAGCCATGGAGGCTGGACCAGCCATGGTGGAGAAAATGTAAGTAAAAATCACCTTTTCACTCCAGAGAGATGGGGGCGGGGACCTAAACAGCTAGTTTAACATTATAGTGTTAGGAATACATGTATAATGTGCCTTTAATATTTTTGGATAAACTTTTAAAATGATTTAATATTTTGAAAAACTATTATTAGTTATTTTGAAAACTATTAATAATTTCATATATATATATATATAATTATTATTATTTTTATTAAGATTATCCAAAAATATTAAATTAAATCTAGGCCTAAATCAGAATGATGTCTTAGCAGCATATTACATGTATTTGAAACCTTTAAATGAGGGTTGGGACAGCAACAATTCATGCATTGAAAAACATTAGTATTCATATGTAGTCAATGGAAGTCCTGTCTACAGGTATCACGTTAAAATAAGCATCTCTCACTGCATGCTGATAGGGCCACCCGATAGCTATGGATTTCCAGGGCGCTGCAGCGCTTTAACAGCGCGATCCCCTGTTTATTGGGCACACTAGATGGGCAGAATGGTTCTTATCTGCCATCACATTGTGATGAAATCAGATGCTGGGAGGAAATGTCTGCCCCGGTCACTCCTCCCAGCTATCAGAGAGTGGAAACTCTGACTCCCATCAGCCTGACCCACCACTGGACGCCAGGGAAGGTCACCCTCCTGCATCTTAAGGTTAGGAAACAGGAGGGTGACTAAAACATTTTGCATGTGTTTGTGTATGTGTGTTTGTATGTGTGTGTGTGTCTGCATGTGTATGTGGGAAGGGGGGTGCACGTATGGGGGGAGGGGGAAATAGATGAATGGGGGGTGTAGACCCCAGGGGGGGTCCCAGGGCAATTTTTACACTGGGGCCACGTGGTTTGTAGTTACGCCTCTAACAATGCTGAATGATTAATCTAATGGAAGCATTTTATCCATTACAGCATACACTACCGCTTGTCATGTTTTACCAAGTTGGAATACATGGCGCACTGCCGAGTTGTTGTGATTGCACAGGCTCTACCAGTTTTAGATCAACCAATCTCTGGGCTGTTAAAGATGTATTGTATTAACCTATAATCTATCTGTGTATTGTCCCGTGTATCGATGCAGGTAGGAGCGACCAGGTCAAATGCATTCAATCTCTTTGATGCTGAACCCCATATGGTGGGACTCATCCTATCGCATGAAAAAATGCCTTCTACCCTCTTTAGCTGTACAGTCAAAATAGACATGTCTTCATTTTTGTGCGTGTTTTTTTTTTTACCGTAAGCCTGTCGACGTAGTTTGATTTTGTAATGCTAAGTTATTCACCCTCGACAGTCATTGCAGTCAGAGAACATGCTCTGTTCAGGCCAATCAGAGGAAGCAAACCATTTAAATGATGTGTTACATAGTCTGAGATAACCCAGGGAGCAGAAATACAGGGGGTCATATGAAAATATAACAGAGGAGACAAAAAAAGAAATAAATGATATTCGGAAATGGCAACAGCACATTGAACCAGAATGTTGTCATGATAAAACAGAAACAATTTAAAATCAGCAGAAATTAAACAACGCTTGTTTTCCAGGGCTGCAGTGTTGTTAGTTCTAAAATAAAATGGACTGTATAGACTCATTATTATAGTTTTTCAGGACAAAAGCAATATTAAAAGCTTGAGAACAAACCAGAGCTGAACCCTAAATGCATATCTTAATAATCTTAATTAACAATCATCATAATGGAAAGTGTAATTTAAAGTCAACTTGTAAAGCAAAAATGAACATTGGTTAGAGAATATTTTAAATTAAATTCTTCTAGGAAACTGTTTATAGTGTTTTAGTAAGACCGACTCATCGTAATACCTATAACTATTTGGAATACATGTTGTGTGCTATTTGTGGAAGTTTTTCTATTGCACTGGTTTATACAAACAAAACGTTGGCTTTTTCTAAGCTCGCGTCGCATGTACCTACTGACAAATACACTCTCACTGTTCAGTGTATTATTTACAAGGAAGAGTGAGTGAAATCTGTGGACACAATTTTGGGAATAGAAAAAATCCACATTCACCGCAACCTGTACCCTCAATCCCATCTTCTCACTCCATAAGCGTGATTTCCTGTATTTCTTCTGTCCTTACGAAACCTGTGCAATATCTTTCTCAATTTCTTTTTCTGGTATCTTCCCAACATCCTTAAGCACATGCACAGCCTGAAGTAGATTTCAACTCCTTTGTCTAACCACCATCCCATCTCGTTAATCATGTCGGCCTTCTTTACCACAATGACTTGCATTTTCACATTCAGCTATTTAACCAATACGTTATCTTTTTAATCTGGTTTCCACTCTTGGCACAGCTAAATTCAAAGATTGCTTACAGACGTTTAACACAAATTAATGCATGTTACTTTGAATACCCTGACCTCCCAGGACTAAGGGACCGCCAGAATTTTAAATAGGTATGGTGCAATATGGTCCCAATGTGGTGTCTGTAGAAAAATGGCAATACGAGGATGGCTTAAAAATATATATGAAAAAGCTGTATAGTGTGCAAAAAGGTTTATGTATAAGAAAGTGGAGAAGAAGGTGGTATACTGTCTCACCATTTTGATTGTGATCACCAATATTTAAAAAAAGCATCATTTAAGT